TTATAATAGCTTAATATTAATTAATATTCTTTAAAATATTTATTGTTATTTGATAGGTTTTTCATGTTGTCAATTTTGAAGCATATTATACAAATCACACAGAGAAGCTTTCACAAGGTTTTATCATTCCCACAAAGAATATTGCTACTATTGAGAAAAGTGCATGTGTCATCGAAGGTGTGAGTAGGTAAGCAAAATTTATTATTTTTACTCTATAATCATGTTTATGTCATATCTATCTTTTTAAACTTTCTAAGCTTCATTTCTTAATTAGGTCGCGTAATAATTTATTGAATGGAGACACAAATAATTATGATTGGGATAGTGGTTACACGTGCCATCAACTTGGTTCTGGATCTATTCTAGTACAATTAGGCCAGCCGTACATGATAGACTCTATGCGGTACGATTCTTATATACTTGAACGTTTATAACGTTTTAAGCAACGACATATCTAATACTATTAATTATAACTATTTTCATATTCGTACAGATTGTTGCTTTGGGATTGCGACAATCGCTCCTATTCATATTACATAGAAGTGTCGGGTAATGCTTGGAGCTGGGTGTTAGTCGCTGATAAAACTAAAGAAGCTTGTCGGTCATGGCAAACAATTCGCTTTTATCCACCACGTCCAATAGTTTTTATAAAAATAGTGGGCACTCACAATACTGCAAACGAGGTTCTTATCGAAATGATTATTGCAACATATTTCTACGTGGGAGATGTACGTTTAATGCGTAAATAATTGAATGTTTACAGGTGTTTCATTGTGTTCATTTTGAATGTCCGGCGCCAGTAGATGATAAATCTTCAAAATCGCCAACGCAAGAAGAACAAACGTCGACATCGATGGATGGTAATAATTCCTTACTTCCTGCTTCCTCTCTCCTTGAAACAACTACGGAACCAATGCGTGGTAGCGATGAACTGTAACTAGAGTAAAGAATACGCGTATGACGATGAAACGTGAGTGATAGCTTTGCCGATGATCCTTGCTGTTATTGTTTTGTGAGCTAGATGAATTGAAATAATTCGTCCAGTGACCTCAATGCAACTTTTAAGACTGTTCAATAATAATCGTTGGATATAAGATTGTAATTAGTCATCTCGTGTTTTCTTGTTTACAAGTTTTATTTTTACCGATGACTTTAAATATAAATAATACGCAGCAGCTGTCAATTTTATAGTCACAAAAATACATATGATAATTAGCTTTTGCATAATTACTCTTTTACATAAATACTCCATGTTTCATAACACTACAATATATCTTTATTTCAATATTTAGTTTTACTTTTTATTTTGGTATATAAAATATATAAAATATGTGAAATCTTCTTTTTGTATGATTAAATATATTTAAACTTGCATTGTTATTTAACTGCAATATTTTTTTTAATGATATAAAATTTTTGATATTCTCTGTAATTGTTGCTGGTTTTTTAAATATGCTTTAATTATTGCCTCAATTATTGTTAAGCTCACAAAATATGCCATATAATTGTGATTAATTTTAACTGTATATAAATTATATTAAATATAATTAAATTTTAAATTATAAAATTAAATAATAATATATTATATAAAATTAAATGTTAAGCGATATTTATAAATGTTTGAATATAGAGTACTTTGCTCATATGTATTCGTGTACCTATCGATTTATCAGTCTTTCATTCTTCAGTATTTTCTATAATATGCTGTATATCTATCTATTAATTTTTTTTTATATACGCATAAGATATTAATTTGTACACACAAGTGTGCCAAAATTTGAAAACTGCATTAATTTGATGTAATCAAAAATACATTTATTTATATCTATATCTATATATATATTTATAACCATTGAAAAATTAGAATTTCGTGCTTTCAAATATTTCATATTAAAGTATTATTACGGATAGAGTAAATGTGATTATAAAATAGCAGCTGCTATGAGTTGTTTTCTATAGAAACTATCTTTTAATACTATGTTACCAAATGTTTTATAAGTACGCGATTTACCTATAATATCAATACTCTGTTTATAATATAATGGTGTCTGGTTCTACAGTATTTCTCATCGTACAAGTACCTCTTTTTAGATAGAATGATTTTTGTTGTAAGTTTAATTTTATGTATATATGTAAAATCGTTATTTTTCTAGTCTACATATTGGATGTAGCACGTCTCTTTCGAGAATTTAATTGTAATAAATTATATGAAAAGTTTAATTGCTACAATCAATAAAATATTCTGATATTTTAGAATTTTTGACTTGAATGTTATTTCAACCTTCGTTCGGTTACTCATTTTTTTCTTTCTTTATCTAATTCTTTTTTTTTCGCCGCTATCGCAAATTACAGATTTATTCAGCAATATCGTTAAAAAAGATAATATAAAATCTTGTCAAAGATAATATAAAAAAAAATTTATATTGCTACTTGCAAGATATAATTTTCGTTATATTTTACGATAATTTTATAAATACTTTTCAATTTGTAAAACATATTTTTTAATTTATGTATCATTAATAGAAATTAATAAAAAAATATGACAAGGAAAGAAAAATATATTCTTCCCGTTCTCTCTTTCGGGAAAAATCGAGGCAAATTTCGAAATGTTGTTCCCGAAAGTCATTGCGAGTGGAAGTCGGCGCGCGCAGCGCAACGATGGCGCTGGCGGCAGTGACGGTGACAACGTGCGCCATTTTGTTCGCTCGTTGCATCGCAAACAGGCGAGGTACAGCGTGCAGCAGAGGGACAGTCATTTTACACGGAGGGAAGGAATAGCCGCTTTTGTAGGAAAGCCGCGATTCGCCTTGGACGCACCTCGTCCTTCGCTTCTTTCTCTTTCTCCTCTTCCTTCTCCTCCCCCGTCCCGCGTATAATTTCTTTTCTCTTGTTCATCGTCGAGCTGCGGTGCAAGCAGCAAGCCAGCGTTGATGATTGGGATTCCGCGGGACGATCGACATAAAATCACGGTCAAGATCCGCAACAACATGAAGAGGAGCTCGAGTCGCGACACTCCGCCTCCTCGTGTCAAGCGGAGTCGATCCTCCATGGGACGGTAAGATCTCGAGACGATCCACGAGACCCAGAGAGGTGTCTCTCGCGTGTCCCCCCCGATCCCTCCTCTTCGGCAAACTTCACGCCGCGCGTCGCTTCGGCCAAACAAGTCGCGTTCGACGCGCGTCTCCTACGTCTCTTTATCTTCACTTCCTTTTCTTTCTCCTCCCTTGTTTCAATCCCCGCCGTGATCATTGATTTGTGGCACGTAGCGTTAATAATATATATATATATATTTTTTTTTTTATTTGTCACGATTACTCTGTGATTACGTATCTGATAGATGGTGCGTGCGTGCATGTGTGTGGTGTGTGCGCGCGCGCGCGCGCGCTGTGTGTGTGGTGCATCGGTATAGCTACCTACTTATCGTAGCTGATGAAACTTTCTTGTGTTTACGTTGATAATCAACGCGAATATCTTATAATGGACTTTTGTGTTCATTTCTACCATTGTAGATTAACTTGCCTTTTTAAATCTTAGTTTATTTTATCCTTTTTTAGTTCTAGGAATTAGAAAAAGATAAGATATAAATTAATTTTAATAATCGATTTAATTTATCCTTTATCTTCTTTAATTCTAAGAAATGAAAAAGAATAAATTAAAGACGAGATTAATTTATTAGTAGAAATTAATTAATATCATTGTGTGTTGCATTGCTTGTGCAGATAGATTTCAGTGTAGTTATCTGTTATCAGATGCGAATCAATATGACTTTGTCGTATATGTGTATATGTGTATGATATTTATCATGTTGATAGTGCTATTAAAACTTCTGCATTGTGCATGACTTTTAGATACGATGATTCTAGCGACGAGCGTATCAGTCCAGAAAGAATTAGACGGCGAAGTCGAGGGGCCAGAAGCCCGAGTCCACCCACACGGGCGTCCTCTCACGCACGCTATGTTGAATCCAGCTCACATCGTGACGAGTATCTACGTCCATCGCGAGACATGCCGCGGGAGCGACCGTACAGCTACAAGGTGCTCTGCGTCAGCGCCATCCATCCAAAGGCCAGCGATGAGGTGATCAAAGACACTTTATACAGGGAGTACAAGAAGTTTGGGGAGTTCTCCATTCAGATTTCACACGAACCGGATGAGCGCGTCGCGTATGTATGCTTTCGGAACTCGGAGGACGCCCGGGATGCCAAACACGCGAAACCGCGTATCATCATGTACGACAAAATGACTCTGGTAGAGCCAGTCTACGACAGACCCGAGACTTATCGTCGTCCAAGATCGATTACGCCGCCGGATTATGAGAGATACTACGCTCGATCGCCGGGACCTACAGATCGACACAGACCACTCGAGAGATACGAACGTGTGTACGGTCCACCGGTGGGTTTGCCTCCTCATCGCGAGATGCGCCGCGAGGCAATCCCACCACCGCATCACGAATTTGTCCGACCACCCATACATCCTCATGGGCCACCACATGTTCATCCAGGACCGCCCAATCACTACGGAGGACCACCGCGACACATAATGATGCGTCATCCAGTGCACGG